CAGGCAAGAGTGGCATAAATAAGTAAGATCCAGGGGCTGGGACCTAATCCTTATCCTTATCGTCTATGAACTAGGACAGAGGATGGATGAAATGTCTGATGACACTAACTCAGAGTCTCTCTATATTGCAGTCTTTTGCTGTCTGACTCTGCAGACTTTTCCACTCTGACTCTGAGTTTGGCCACGGGACTTCATCCAGCCAAGAGCATTTCAGGTTTGAAGTTTAACAATCTACTGCGTCTTCCTCTTTCTCTCTTGGAGCTGGGTGACCACCATGAGAATGTACCTGACCTAGCCTGCGGGAGGATGAGCCACATGGAACAGAGCACAGGCCAAACTGGATCAGCCAGTGACTGCAGTGGGTGGACTTCAGCTGACCCCAAGAAGAATTTCAAGGCCAAGCCCCATCAAGATTTATTACCAACCACACAACTGGCCTGTAAAATTGTGAACAATTTAAGCCAATGAATTTTGAGGTTCTTTGCTATGCAGCATTATAGTAATAGCTGACTGCTACAAAGTCCCCCTTTCCCCAACATTTCCAGTGACTAGGGAAGGCATATCCTCCACAGGGCCAAGCAAAGTGTTTGGTAACATAGTGTGTGTAGGCTCCAAAGTTGAAGCACCAGTGCTACCATTGCTACTTTTATGTCCTTGAACAAGTAATCACATTCTCAGTTCTCTTCTTTTTTTCTCTTTTCTTTTCTTCCCTTTCCCTTCCCTTTCCTTCCCCTCTCTCCCTCTCTCTGTCTCTCTCTTTTCTTCTTTCTTTTTTCTGCCCCTGTCTCTTTTTCTCCTTCCTTCCTTCCTTCCTTCCTTCCTTCCTTCCTTCCTTCCTTCCTTCCTTCCTTCCTTCTTTTGGTCCTAAAGCAGGAATTAAAATGCTGTCTACCTTTCCTTCTACTTTTTTCATTATTGTGAAGACTGAACAACCTAACGCAGGTAAAGTTCTTAGGATGAAGTAGCTCTTGGTACAGATGAGCCTTTTTAAAGTGCACATGTCCATCTTGATAGTACCTACCCTCCCTGCTGGAGGGCAGAAATATCATCTCAGGTGCCTCTCTCTCCCCCATCACTTGGAAGAATACCCACCATGGTAAATATCCACTATTTTTTAGTGGATAGAGTGAAATTAAAAGTCTTATTACTAGGAATATAAATTTCAATATTCTATTTCAACCTGAGGACAATATCTTTGCTCTTTTTATACCGTTTATGTATAATATTTAGCATGATTTACACCTGTACTTCTCCCTCACTCTGTTCTGCTGTGAAATAAAACATTACAACCTTCTGCACTCTACATTTCTGCCCTTCTCACATTTCTGTGTACTGCCAGTTCCAATGGTAATTAAATAAAACATTTCTCAAGTGTTCCTCCTGAGTAGGTTGAAAAGTGCTGTTATGGTTTGTGTCTGGATGTCCCCCACAAAGCCTCAAGTGGTCTTGGGGGGAGCTTTTCAGAAGCGGCTGAACCCAGAGTTTGTGATTGGTTCATTGTGTAGCGCTGGAATTAGGGGTGTGAGTGCTACACCTGCCCTAGGGCAGGTAGCCTGCATACAATACATACAATAGAAGGCAGGAAAAGAGGCTTGCTCCTTCCTGATCATGTGGTACAAGAGCTTTATGGGAATGGCTTGTGGGAAGAGATTGAAAAGGTTCAGAGATGCTGGCTGAAAAAGTAGAGCTGGAATGCCTTAGGCTGTTCTGTCTGGGAGAGTGTGGGCAGAGCTCAGAAGACCAGAAGGCTGATAGAAATCTGGCAAGTGAAGACCAGGCTCAGGAGGTTTCTGCTGGGAAGAAGCACTGCATTGGCTGTTGGACTCCAGATCATGTGTGTTATGGCTTGGCAGAAAGTTTGTCTGCATTTTGCTCATGTCCAGAGACTTTGCCTGAGACTGAGATTAAAGGAGACAGAGTCATTAATCCGGTAGAAGAGATTTCAAGGCAGTATAATGTTGAGGGAGTGGCATGCTACTGTTGGGGGTTTTTAGCCAGATTTATGTTGAGAATAAAAAGCAAAGAGCCCAGCAGGATGATTTAAAACACTGCAAGTTTGGCAAGAAAGGAAAGTTTGGACTGTAGAGATGGGGCAGAGTAGATCCTGATTGCTGAGAAAGAACAGAAAAATAGAAAAGATGGCCTGAAGCCATCACAAGAAGTAGCAGGACTCTACCCTTTGCAGCCTCAAAACTGCAAAAGTGAAAGAGTTTGCTTACAGGAGAAAGTCACAGAGTACCACATTCCAGAATGATGGCAGCATAGAGAATTTGTTCCTCAGAAATGGAATCAGAGTGCTCAGTAATCCAGGCACTTGACCCTTACAGCTGAGAGAGAGGGAAGCCTGGTTGCTGTTCCAGCTGGTAACAGACTTTGGTACCATCCATGTGGCACTGGTTTTAGGTGCATGTAGAATGCAAGAGTTATGGGGTTAAGAAGGCTTCTACCCTGATTTCAGGTGGTCTTGGAGTCCAGGCAGTGTGTCCCTGAGAGGGCAAAATGTGAAGCTGTGAATGTGAAGCCAAAGGTGAAGTGAAGATCCCAGAAGTTTGGAAAAGCCAAGAATGTGGATCATCTAAAGAAAGCTGCAAGGAGGGAGCAAAGTGGGCCTAACAAAGGAGCCTTTGGAGCTACTACTATCAGCAGTGCTATAGAGGTGGAACCACGCAAGCCCTTCAGAGTTCATGACTTGCCACAGATTGCCTTGGATGCTGCACATGGAACTATGGGACTTAATGTTTTCTTGGCTAGATTTTGGACTTGCTTTGATCCCATTCCTCTGAATCCCACTGTCTGTAACTTTTGGAACGGAAATGTCTATTGTGTGCCATTGAATACTGGAAGTGTTTAACTTCCTTTTCATTTGTACAGGGGCTTGCAGCTAAGAGTTTGCCTTAAATCTCAGAGGAGACTTGGGACTTGGACTTTTTAGCACTGCTGAAACTGTTAGGACTTTGGCAACTCTTGCAGATGGACTAAATGTCTTTTGCATAAATTGATGTGCATGAGTTTTTGGGGGGCCAGGAGTGGAACATTATGGTTTGTGTCTGGATGTCCCCCAAAGCCTCATGTGATCATGGGGGAGTGGGCTTTTTGGAGGTGGCTGAATATAGAGTTTGTGAATGGTTTATTGTCTAGTGCTGGGATTGGAGGTGTGAGTGCTACACCCACTGTAGGGCTGGTAGCCTGCACACAATATAAGGGAGGAAAAGAGGCTTGATCCTCTCCCTTTTGCTGTCTTCTGCTGCCTTGAACTGTTATCCCTCTGCTGTGAAAATCACTGAGAACCTCTACAAACTGTGAAATAAATAAACCTTAACCTGTGGATGTTGGGTATTTTGTCCCAGCAATGAAAAAGTAACTAACACAGATGTCCTCCCAGGTCAAGAGGAATGGCATTTCTCTGGAGGATTTGCTTTCTTCCAACAAGCCCAGCTGCCTCTTAGAGTCAGGTCTCCTGGGCTCTTTCTCAGCTAGTCTTTTTCCTCAGGCAGGGCTATTTTTCCTCCAGAGTTTCCACTCTGATTAGCGTCAGAAGCCTGGCTTTGGCAAGGTTCCCCCCATCTGGCCACATAGAGTCACAAAGCAACAAACATCTTCCCCTACCCAGTGTCCCACTGTGCATGGCCAGAGTAGCAGGAAAATCACCTTCTGGTTCCAGACCTTCCATGACTCACTGACGGTGACATTAGGGCAAGGATTCTGGGAGGAGAGGGGCTCACATCCTAACCCCACCTCAAGCAGCAGGTGAGAGTCTACATATGCGGCCACCATGCTGGTGATAGTGGCCACCATAGTGGCTACCAGATCTTCAAAGGCCTCTACAGACCTTTATAACAACCATAACCTTGGACAAGTAACCCCCCCATGCCTCAGCTTCTACCTCCACAAAATGAAAGTGATAACACTGTTCTCTGTCTTCAGTTTAAGGAAACATACATGAGAAAGTGGATCTGAACCATAACCTGCTAGATAAATACAAGTATAGGCAATGTTTGATGTTTCATTATACCATTTATTGATTCAGAAAACAGTATGAGTTTCAAAGATATTGCACAAATTATATGTAATTCTTTTTTTTTTCCTGTTTTTTTCCTGAGTATTAGTGAAATTTAGATTAGATGATGGCATAGGGGAAAAAAAAAAACCCTAGAGAGTCCTCAGGAAAATGATAGCAGATAAAATTTTGAACCTCATGCACTCTTTCTAATTTATCCCTTACAGCAGCTGGGCAAAGGCGGTTTATGTCACTTCCTTTTGACAGACCAGGGATCCCTCGCTTAGGAAGAAAGTTAAAAGACTCATTCAAGATAAGATGGTGGAGCTTGTACTTAACCACAAGGATGTCAGCTGAGAGATGAGAAAGGGAGTGTGCCTTTGACACTGTATATCTGTAGGCAAAAGGATTTTGGTTTTTTTCGGTGCTCTGTTGAAAGCTTCTGATTCCTCAAAGTCCTGTTCTGAGTTGGATCCAGTTCTCCACCACCAGGGAGCTGAAGGGAAGCCCCTGAGACCACTCTAGCCCATCTTGAGCCTCACTTTCCTCTTCTGAAAGTGAGTGCACTACTGCCTCCCCTGAGGGCGGCTGGGAATGTCCTGGGGGTCACTAAATGGAAGCCCTCTGTCCAGTGCATGTGACAATAGCCTCATTCTGTGCTCGCCTCTTTTTCTTTGGTTGCAAAGACAGCCGAGGTTGGCATGGAGAGGAGGAAGGGTGGTTGACGTGCACACAAGCTAGGAGGAAACTGAGTGCCATCATTTTAGGTGGTAGCAGCGAGCAGAGAGGTGGCCATGGAGACTGCCTGGCTGGCTTTCCCAGACTCACCAGTGTCTTCCAGGTCCTCTCTGCTCCTCATGTGCAATGAGGTGTCTAGAGGCACCCAGTGCTGCCCTCAGAGGAGAATCAGAGTGGCACCCCCTCCTGTGTCCATCAGCCCAGCTCTCAGGCTGGCCTGACCCCACACACAGGCTGCAAGTAGGTGACAAAAGGCGGTCCCTACCTTTCACAGCTCCTGCCTCATTGTGCTTCTCAAAGAGCAGGTAGTGCGGGCTCTCGGGGAGAAAGGGCAGGCTCAGCAGCTGGACAAAGGCGGGGACCACGATCACCCCAAACAGGTACGGCCAGGTGCTCTCCTGAGGGAGGAGAAAATGGGTCACATGGGAGCCTGGGCCCTGGGCCAAGCAGCTGTGACATTGGAAGTCCTGCCCAGCACGAACCCAGGAGCCAGCGCTGAGGGAGAGGACTGAGCTGGAGGCCACCAGCCTGGGTTCAGGGCATTTCCCATGCACAAGTGAGTGCCCATCAGACAGTGATCCACGGGAGGGTCACTCTGAAAAGCAGGTGGCTGAGGTTGGCTGTCACTTAGGGGGTGCCAGGATCCTCTGACACCCCAGACTGTGGGCCGCTGTGACAGGCCCGAGAGCCTCCCAGAGCTCTTAGCACAACCACCTCCTTGGCTGCCACTGGCAGGAATCCCATGATGCCTTGTGCTGAGACCCTCACACAGCAGGGGCAAAGAGGGGAAGCCTGTGCTGTCATCATGGTGCCTGCGAAGCTGTGGTATGTGGCCATCTCGCTCTTGTGACGCTGCAGTAAGCCTGGCTGGGGCTCTCCCAGGGACACAGAACTGGGGCGCAGTCTTCCTTCAGGGAAGGAGGACTTCTCAGGTTCCAGCACGTGGTGGGGGCAATGGGCACCACTCAAGGGGCTCTTTGACTCTCTTCAAGCAGGGAATGGTGACAGTCACCTACAAGGCCATGTAACTGCAGTGTGGAGCCCAGTGACGATGCCCATCAAGGTGGTCTTCTTCCTTCTCTGCCTGCTTCTCACCCAGGTGACAAATAAGCTCTCACTGTGCAGCAGAAGAGAAATTGACCTCCGGGCAGTCCCTGGGGGAAGCAGGATGAAAGCCAGAGGCTCCACACCAAGTTCCTGATGCGATCCTGGTGACAGAGACCCTGTGCAACTTCAAGGATCCTGCTGGGGTAGAGCTGCAGGGACCCAGAAGTGCAGAGCTGGGAGGAAAGGGGTCTGCCAAGGGCAGAGGCCAGGGCTGGCCCAGTCCTGTCTCCTCAGTGTCTTCGGTCTGCCTCCTTTCTGAACTTAGAGTGGATGTCTGTTCACAAAGTGCTATCGGTTCCACTGGGCAGCACAGTCCTCCCTCCACAGTCTGAAGTACGAGCAAGGTCAAGGTTGGCTGCTCTGTTTGGGGGCCTCTAGCTAAAAGGCCAGTGGAGGAAGCAAAGAGATCTGGGGCTGCTGAGGCGAGAGGGAGCAGGCAGCGTGAAGCAGTGCTCATGGGATACGGCTTCCTTTTGGGGTCAGGAAACATTCTGCAATTACATAAGACCGTGGTTGCATGGCTTTGTGAATATTCTAAAAACCACTGGGTCCTGTGTTGTAAAACTTGACATGATACATGAATTCTATCTCAATTAAAATTTTTTACACTTCAGAGAGAATGGCACAGTGTCAACCTCCTGTTTTAGTGGGTTGCACATTCACAGAATCAACCAACCGTGTGTCAGAATCTTCAGACAAAATTGCATCTGTCCTGACCATGTGAAGACCTCCTTCTGGTCACCACTCCCTAAACAGTGCTGCATAACAACTAGGGACAGAGCGTTTGCATGGTGTTGGGTATTATAAATCACCTAGAGATGATTTAAAGTATGTGAGAGGAGCCACGCATGGTGGTGCACGCTTCAGAGGCTGAGGAAGGAGGGTCACAAGTTCAAGCCTATGTAACAGGCTGGGGATTTAGCTCAGCGGCAAAAGCGCTTGCCTGGCAAGTGCAAGGTCATGAGTCCAGTTCCTGGTACTGGAGAAAAACCAAAAAAAAAAAAAAAAAAAAAAAAAGCCTATGTAACTTAGTGACTTAGTGAGATTTTATCTCAAAAGAAACAATGAAAAGGGCTGGAGATGTAGCTCAGTGCAAAGGCTCTGAATTAAATTCCTGGCACTGAAAAAAGTATGGTGTGTATCTATCTCTCTCTCTCCTTCCCAAAAACCTAAAGACATCATTCACAGTGGAACATGTATACTAATATTTATAGCAGCAAAAGTAATAATAGCTAACTAGTGAAAGCAGTCTGTATGCCCACCCACAATCAAATGGATGAAGAAAATGTGCTGGCTGTACATAATGGAATACTATTTGGCTATAAAGAAGGATAAATTCAAGACATTTGTAGGAAACTGGATACATCAGGAAAATAGACTATTAGGTGGCATAAGTCAAACACACAAGCTTAAATACATATGATATTTTTCATTTAAGTAAGGCTAAGTGTAAACACAGAGCAAAATAAAAGCTCGATAGAAGGAAACAGGGAGATAGATCTTTTGCAAATAGGAAGGCATCCAAGAACTAGAGGGTGAGGGGAGGGTGAGGGGGAAGGGTAAATAAGATTTAAGATGTGTCAGGTACATGTACCAGGTACCCACAGTGAATGTAAACATTACATGTCATACACACAAACAAAAAGAATAATAATACAGGTATTCTTCACTTAACGATGCACCTGTTTAATCACTGTTTAGACTTTTGACCTGCATTTGGACTTACCACGCAGAAGCAGGAGCAGCAGTATGGCTTTATGGTGGCTTCTTCTACAGTACAGAACTATACTTTTTGCTGACTGTACTTTACAGTGCAGTCCTGTAGTTTTATGTTCTGTTATACATTACAGCACTCCATGTAAAAGTAGAACAAATAAAAGCAAAGTCACCAAGTTGGAGTTTCTTTTGATCATTTTGTTGTTCTTTGCAATGTACACACCATGTACAATTCCTCGTTTAGAGACCAGCTCATTTAAGGATCTAGTGGCAGGAATGAAATTTGGATGTTAAGCAAATACTGTCTCTAATGAAAATGGGGAATGGGGGTCTAGAGACGGAGGAAGAGAGGTGGGTGGGGAGAGCAAAGGGAATAAAAAAGAATCAAAATGTGTTAGGTACATGCACCTACTCCCTAAGTGAATGCAAGCGTCTTGTATTGCAGATATGTGCCAGCAAAACAAGATTTATAAAAGTGGTTGCCTTTCTGAGAGAGAGAAGGGGGAGCCAGAGAGCCCAGACCACCCCCTACTCCCTACCCTTGATAAACAAGCCCCACAGTCAGCATCTCCTGGTTTTACTTTTCCCACAGGGCTGTTCAGCGGCCAAAGCATCAGATTTCCTTGGCCCCTTAGTTGAAAAATCCATTGACCAGCTGTGTCTGGCTCTCAAGTCTGTTTCATTGGTCTATTTTCTATAGCACACTGTTCTGATAGCTAGAGTGTTATTGTAAGTCTTAAATCAGGTGGTACAAGACCTCTAATCTTAGTGTTTTTTCTTTTGAAAATTGTTTTGGTTATTCTAGGACCTCTAATTTCTATGTAAATCTTAGAATGAGTTCATCCATTTTTTGTTTTTTAAAAACTTCCTGGATTTTGATTGGCTTACATTGAAATCATTGATAAATGTGAGGAAAACTGCCCTTTAAATGATGCTGTCTTTAACTCTATGAACATGGTGTATCTCTCCACTTGTCTAATTTCTCTTGACAGTGTTTTCTTTTTTTTCGGTGTATCATCTTGTACATATTTTCATAAACTTATCCCAATTTCATATTTTAACACTGTTGCAAAATATTTTTCCATGTCTAAGTTTTCATTACTATTAAATAAAAATAAAATTAATTATAGTCTATTGATTATATCTTGCAACCTGAATAAATATATTAGTTCTCATAAGTCTCTCTTTGAATATTTGTGGTTTACTATATATAAAGATGAACATGTCATCTGCAAATAAGCACAGGTTTATCTCTCTCTTTCTAAACAGTATGTTTTTGGTTAGATTTCATCCTTTATTGTACAGGACGGGACCCGCAGTGCAATGCTGAATGATAGTCAAGTCGTGAGGTCCTCAGTTCGTTTCAAATCTTAGGGAAAAGATCTGGTCCTCCACAGGCCAGTGTGATGTTGGCTGTAGAGCTTTAGGTTTTACATATCAAGATGAATCTTTTCTGGGTCCTTTTTCTTTGCACATTTCATGTTGGATACTTGTGATGGATCCATCATCAAGTGTACTAATCTTTGGTCCTACAAAGTGTAAGATACTCTTAATTCCATTCTGTGGGCTTTCCATATTGACTATTGCAGTTTTCATCTCTGGAAGTTTGAGGAGGGTCTTTGTTTACACCTTCCTTTCTTTTCATCAAGTTTGTATTTTCCTCTGCCTCTTATTAAATATAGAGTGTGCCTATAGTAGTTGTTTTGATATTATAGCCTGAAAATTATTTTATCTCTGAAATTTCTAGTTATGTTTCTATTAATTGAGTCTTCTCCCAACTATGGGTTACATTTTCTTGTTTATTTTCATGTCTGATAAGTTTTTTTACTGGAAACCAGTCCCTGTGACTTTTATATAACTGTTTCTAGAACCTTATTACATCCCTTTAGGTAGCATTGAGGTTCGTTCTTGAGCACAGTAGGGTCCCTGAAGTCAGTTGGAGTGTTTAGAAGCTTCACAGCCTGGTTCAAGGGGGTCTTGAACACCTTTTATTCAGTTAGCTCCATTGTTGAGAACTCTGCCCAATGGTCACACAGGAGATCTTTCTACTGAACTATTTCCAGATGTGTGCAAACTCCAGATATTGCTTATTTTACTTTTTATTTTGATGCTTCTTCATTATTCATCAAGATGAGTAAAAATCTGCTGAGACCCAGAGTGCTCACTCCTCCCTCCCTCCCACTTCTCCACTATTTTTCCTATCAGTCCTCATGGGACAGTTGTAGTCACTTCATTTGTTTCTCTTCTCTTGTATCATCCTTGTCCTGCTCTGACTGCTGTCCAATATTTGAAAGCAGTTTTCTACATGTTGTTAATTTCTAGTGTTGGGTGGGAGGGGTCATCATGGATGAGGGCAGGAGTCTCTAAACAGTTGTTTTTAATCTATATCTGATCCCTGTCCACTTCCCTGACCTCATGCTTCTTGCCCCAGTTCACTCCAGGAATCCCAGCCATGCTGCACTTCCTTGAAGCGGCCATGGAAATCTCTGCCTTTGCTGCCTCTTTGGCTCAGAATCCTCTAATGCACCCTCATCACCTTGCTTCTTCTGGTCGCTGGGAGCTCCGCTCCAGTGTC